GTTTTAAAAATCCATCATTTAGACAGCATGTCTGAATCCAGAGCTCATCTCTTCTCTACTGGACGTATTTTCTAATTTGTCAAGCATCCCAGACTGTGCCTCTTGTGATAAGAGTTAAAATGATGAATAAATAAATGAATAAATAAAATGGAAAGAAGAGATGTTTTTTTTTCAAGAACAATAATGTGGTGTTCTTAAGGTTTTTATGTGCTGAAAGAGACAAATAGCTGCTGGCTAAGAAAAAAAAGGCTGAAATGTATGAGTGGACAGAAATAAAGGAAGCGCAGAGAAATCCTTAGTTGTGCAAATCTCCGAAGGTTTTCTCATTGGAATCACAAGAACATGTATATTAAGCACATAGGTAGCTGTACATCTCAATACATTTTCTGTTTATGACCATTTTAATTCAGATCCACTATTGCAGCTGAAATTAATTCCATTTTATACAAAGCAGACCAGTGCACCAAGTATTGACAGTCTGTTATTGTATGAACTGTATTGTATAAAAGCAGGCAATGCTGCAGTTTCCACATGTAAGAAAGCGCCTGCTGAATGGTAGCCATAGAGACCAACAATTTTTACAAGAATTGCTGCACTTCATCTCATTTTGCAGTAATTGCCAGCTGGCAGTAAAAAAAGGGGAAAAAAAGGATTGGAAAGATGAATGTCGTCTTTTGTTATCTCCAACCGAAATTATGTTTTTTTAGTTTTATGAACAGAAAATCCAATGTCCCTGCTGCCCGTGACCTTCCGAAATATTTTCAAACATTTTAAGTGGACAGACAAAAACAAAAGTTGCTCATCTGTCATTCTTGCACTTATTTTCACACTTAAATATTAACTTATGTAGAAGCTTCTATTAGATATACACCAGTACAAGATTGAACCTCAAGCATTTTCTTTTTTTTCCCATTTTTAACACAATTCTAAACCAAAAGATTTTGCAAACAACTAAAATCTGTGTCAGGTTCCGATAACTTCTTGTGGAGAGTTCTACTTATTAGCAAGTATCTCTCACAGTGTGGGAATTGTATATTCTAAATAACTTTGATGTTTCCACTCGATCACTGCCCAAACAGGGCACAATCTAAATCAGCATCATTCCTGTTTCATTATGGTCAGAATCTGTTAAGGGGGTTAAGCTTTGGTTAGCCATGTTTATGGGAATGACATTTTTATTTTATTTTTTGGACTTACATTGCTATAAACAACAAATAAAACAACTGCAATGCAGTCATACCGTTTTGCCTTCAAAAGACATCTAAATATATTAATCTTTTTCCATATTTCGAAGGTGTGGGTGAAACATTTCTAGCTACTTACTAAGAATAAAACATAGACATAAAGATAACCAATGCCAACGTTACCAGAAGGCCACTTGAAAAAGGAATTCCATTTCAAATGTCAGAGCTGCCCTTGCAGAGCAGATATCAGGATCCAATATGGCTGCAGTGCAAGTAAAACATCTGGATGTTGCAGATGTAAACAGCAATTCTGGTGGCTTGTATCTCATTAAAGCAGTGGAACGGAGAGTGCTGCACAAGTTAGTTTTGGTCAACATGTTTCGGATTTGATTGCGTACCTCAACTAAAATGTGAATATCATAGAAAGAGAAATTTTAGTAATTTAATTTAAGGAGGATTCGACTTATTACACAGGTTGATATAAGTCAATCTATCAGTATAGATAATTCTTACTAATGGATAATGAATCTTCAAAAATTCTGCTTTCAATAAAAAGGGAATTTTGCTTAAATGAATAAAAAATGATAGTTAATTCAGAAAGGATTGCAGACTGAAACACTAGAAACCCCCTTCATATTATCTCCATAACTTTTGGAGTCTCTCCCCTTCGTTTTTGCATTGCTGTGTCGATTTTCTTCTAGGGTTAAGGTCAGGCCAGCTCTCTGACAAATCAGGCAAGGCAATAACATGCTCAGAAAAAAACGTGGAACTTTTAAAAGAAAACAGTAATTTCTTGTTCCTCCAAACCCAGAAAGAGATTTTTTTTTTTAAAACATCTTTCCAGGCGTCAGATTACCCAAAGAACACAAAGGTTACAGTCAATGCCCTGGATACGTCTACATCTAGTGTCCCTGGAATTTCTGCCTCCAGTCGCAGTCAGTCGCACACTTCTATAATCTCCTCTACCCTCAGGTGAGCTTTTCTTCACAATCCTCACAGGGTGTCAGTTATTCCTAGTGATTGTGCACCTTTTTCTACCACACAATTACCTTTCCCACAACTTCTCATTTAAATAATTGTATACAACCGTCTGAACAGTCAGAGTACTTAGCCATGACCTTTTATTACATCGACTAACTCTCCCCTGAACGCCTGTCAGGTCAGCAATCTTCTGTTGGACAAGCCACTACAAAACTTTTCTGAAACATCTGGTTTAGAAAAATCAACTTATCTACATTCTGATTTATCCTGAAAGACCAGTAGAGTTAATAAAAATGCATCGTTATTGCCTAGTTGGAGCTTTAGCAGGTCACCAACAAAATCTCACAACTCTAAACTCAGGTGATGTAATTCCTTGATCTTAATTCCAACTTCTACAACAAACCAACAAAGAATTAAGGCTGAGGAAGCAAAATCTCCTCTACAACATTCCTGAATTTAAAAAAGCATATAGAAATATGCCGATAGTACACTAAAGCACCCGAGTATACTCACTAAACAAAATAAAAAGAAAGGAAATTATGCAAATTTATATGTAAAGCTATATCGGATAAACCATAAAGCTAAATCCCAACCCTAACCTAATAAAGACTGCATGAAAGCCTGCTTCTTTCACGCAGCAGTCACAAATTGAAGTGCTCCTTTCTTTACATAAATGGCAAAAATCAAATCAATGGAAATATTTTTTTAGAGAAATGAAGAGGTGCACCCTCTTTCAAATCAAACAAAAGTTGCTGTTTTTTTCAGGCGGCAGAAAAATCAACCTGCATTACTGTAATGCACAATTCAGTAGGAAAAAAACAAGAAACTGTACGAACAAGACAGCCTAATTATGTTTACTCCACCATGTCTCATGGGGAAGAAAGCTCCTTTTCCTTAGAGGTTATGAGTTCAGATCATTTATTGAAATTATATAAACTATTGTGTAAACAGGGAAGAAGCTTTCTGTTTTATTTTATTCCAATGTTTATTGTTTTAAGCCACAGCTTCAGCTTACATGCAGAAAATACATGTTCCTATCTCAAGCCTTTGTGTTATATAATTTATTTTTAAAACACTGACACTTTGAGTTTTTCCTCCATTCAGTAACAACCTCCGCAGCGAAAAGTGTTGCCGTTGAATGCCGAAACCTAGGTATTTACTTCTTTATTCTTATGTTGAGAATAAAGGATAAAGGAACAAAATATGTGTAAAAGTCTGATAATCCATGTTTAAAGTGATTATGGCCAACCAATCGTAATAAGTGATCTATGATTTTTTTTTTTTTTTAGTTAAAAAACATACAAAAATACATATATATGAAAATGTGTTTAACTAGCCAAAAGAAAGTGATAACTTATTCCTTTACTAACTTTAACTTTTGAGAATCCCTTTTATCATCTTAATGAATAATTGGATAAAACTGTTCATCCTCGTCTTCCAACCCTTTTTCGTGCTATGTTAAACTTTATTTTCACCTTCTGCTTCTTTACTTAGATTTACCAGGAAACATTGCTTCCTTTAGATGTCCAATTCGCTAAGAAGAACGCGGATCGAATTTTGCAAAAGCAGGAATCACTTTTATTTTCTTGCAGTGCCATCCCCATCAGGTATCACACCAGATGCTGGGTTCAACTACAGCTAGATTAAATACCACCCAGATTATATTCCTCAAGGAGGAGCACTTAAAACTGAGTCAAAACGGATGAGACAAAACAAAGTGCAGGTTGGCTTAACAGTTTAGTCGAAAAGCATCAAATGTCCCCTTGAGTTTCCCCCTAGAGGGTGGGGGAGAAGTCAAGGTTTTTCACTGCTGCTAGAAAGGCAAGAAGTGTGTGCAGACTGTGAAAAAAATGTGTGTCATTTGCTTGAGGGAAATTCCACCTATATGCTGTGTATATGACAGATGGTGCTGCAGTCCTGGATATCATGGTCCTAATTGTCAGATAAGGATGCATTGAATAAAATGCTGAATAAAAATGACAAAATCAGATATAATTCCAAATTGTATCCATATTTAAAGACTTCATCGCCACGGTTTGAAGGATTTGACACAGTGGGGCCTTTTAAAACTGAAGTTTGCCCCTCTCTCCAGATTGTTACTAAATCTGGAGCCATTTGCAACTATTTTTTGTTTGTGCATTAAAAAATCATGCGTGTTGTGCAGTTTTCATGCTTTTCTGATGGCATTGGATATTCCCTGCAGCTGTAAACAAGTCAACAAAGAGTTGTGTGTTTGGTGGAAAGGTGTGGATTTTGCACGCCAATTGCTCTGCAGGCCTGTTTTTTTATTTTTATTTTTTTTTTACATTTTTTAAGACACACTCATAGCCTTTAATAAAAAATTCAGACGCTGCTGCACAGCCCAGGCCTGCGTTTTCTTCCAGCACCTTTTTTTTTTTTTTTTGCAAAGACACAAAGCCTTTCAGAGTCAGGTGCATCTCACAGAACTGGAAGCAAAAAGAAAGGGGAAAAAACTTCCCTCATATGCATTGAGCTTTAAAACTTCTGTGCTCAGCAGCAATAGTTTTGGTTTAAACTCCAGAGAGAAAAACAGCAGCAATACTGATTAATTGGAGGATAATCAAGCGTTGAGAGGTCGGATGAATTAGTCCCAGATGGAAATTTAAATCCCTTTATCCTGCGCACTGATCAACTCTGGGTTTATCATAAAAAAACGCGCATATATTCCAGTTTGAAGTCATTAATAGTCGAGTTTAACGCCTCTAACGCCGCTGCAGGCTTTCATTGGTGGACATTATCATCGCCCTGAGCTGAATCTGCAGGATAATAGTAGATGCGCGCACAAGGAAAAATGCAGAGGAACGCCACACTTACCGCGCCGTGCTTAAAGATTACTTGTGCACATGCACGGATTCAAAGCGTGCATCAATTTTTCACCAGGAGAAAAAAAAAAAGTGTCCTCTTCAAACGTTGCTTGATTGCTTGAAGGGGATCGAGGAGACAGAGCAGCGAATCCAGCCGCTCGGTTTAGACTCCTATGAATTAGTCTGGTTGTGGCTTCCAGAATCCCGAGGGGAGGAAAAAAAAACAAGGAAAACACAACAAGAAGCTTTCCACAGTCCCCACTTCTCTCCTTTACATCCCAATATGTAGTCACAAGTCTTTCCTCTCTGTGCGGGGGCTACATCACGTCCCGTGGAAGCTGGAAGAGCGACACCTCATCGGTCATAATAAAACAACAAAAAGAGTATCCAGAAGACTCTTAAAAGCAGAAAATGTATATATTTTTTCTTTTTCCCCTTTAAGAAAAAATAACATCCAAGTCTAGTGATTTTCCAAAGAAAACTGCGCTCACGGCGACTATGACAAACCAATAGTGCGCACTGGCTGGGAGTGAATCTGTATGAAGGCGGTTTTGGAGCGCCAGTGGAAAGGTGAAGGAAGGGAGAGCTCGGATGCGCACAGACGCTCTCACCGTATACTCGGGCTCCACCTAGCAGCAGACTCTGGATAACATGCTGCTGCAAAGGCTCCCCCAACACTATATTGTGTATATTTTTGCCTGAGGCTCGCAAGGAGACCTGTGTTATATTACATTCTGTGTGAGCCTGTGACTGCAATATTTAAGAGAATTTCCTCTTCTCCATCATTAAGGTTCAATATCAGAGGCGTAGTCAGAAAAATTTAATAAGGGTGGCCAGGCAATAACCATTGTAGGCTGAGGGGTGACCCAAAGTAGATAGGCACCAAATCTTCACGGTTATACTGTTCCAACAGGAGAATTAATGAGCAAAACATCCACATTTTCAAAATAAAATCAAATTATAATTTCCCATGGCCTTTGCTAGAAATAGACAAATATATATATATATATATATATATATATATATATATATATATATATATATATATATATATATATATATATATATATATAAACAAATCTGTGCTTTCTCGATAAAAGGTATAATGGATGAAATTCTTTCAGGTTTGAGTTTTGGGCGAACAAATTTTCCACTTTTATCAATAATCATTCTGCAAGTGCCAATATCTAGATACATTGATTAATACGTTTTTTTTATTAAAATAGTTATTTATCTATAATTTCACTGAAGACTCCTAGATGACTTGGAGAGAAACATAATTTTCTCTTTACCCCATAAAACGTAAAATCGGTTTCTGCTTGAATTCTATTATCTTTAATGTTAGTATATTGATGTGCATAATTAACATCAGTGTTTTTGTTATCAGCTAATTGTTAATATATGAAAAAATAAAATGTTTTGAATAGTCCACTTGAGAGTATTACTGCTGCCACCATCTGTATTAGAGGGAAATAAATGGTAGGGGTGGCCAATGATTGGCTAACGGTGGCCATGGTCACCACTGGCCCCCCATCTAGCTCCGCCCCTGTCAAAACTCCTTAAAAAATGCCAGACAAGCAGAGTAATGTCCAGCCATGGATATATATAGGCTTCTATTTTTTTTTTAGTTTATCTATTAAGTCATTACAATGGCCTAACTATCGCTAAGCAGAGACTGCAGTTGCTTAGGGCCCCCCCGACCTCTTAGGGGCCCCGTTACTGACACCTGGGTGGCCCCCTATCCTATTGTGGACTAGGACGTCTCTTTGCAGATGTAATGGTGCACATGATACCAGATTGACTGACCAGACCTTATTCATACCCCACCACATGCCAGATTTCAACATGATGGTGAGCCGTTTAAACACGACACCAATAGCAAAGCAGACAGTGGTACTTTTAATTACTATGTTAATAATTATGTATAGTCCATTAGACGGTTGGTAAAAAATACACTCATATAATATTTTTCAAACCGCAATAAAGATCGTAAAAGATCAATGTATTTGAGTATTTTAATTTTTACAACACGACTTGGAATTATGGGTAATCCAGAGGGTAAATTAAAACCATAACCGTTACATACAATGTGTTAGCGACGATGGATACCAAAAAGAGGTACTTAAGCGGATTCCAGTAAAGAAAAAGCAAAGAAGAGCTGTTAGAAGAACGAAAAAAACAAAAACACGTTCTTTCAAAGAACCAAAGAGGGAGAGGTGGACGTTGCTGCTATGGTGAGTAAATATTTTGACCAGGAGATGAATGGAGAGAGCGTGGGTGAGGAGGGGGGGCTGTGAAACTCAAGGTAGCCCAATAAGACTCATTTTACAGCAGAATATACGAAAGTATATCTACGTCTAGTGAAGGTGAAGAATGATGAAATGATGAAGTGTGTATATATGGGGCACATTTCGGGTCTGTGGTCTGCGGCAGCGGGGTTGGGGGTATGGGGTGGTGTACTTCATATGGGGCCCACCCAGATAATGTTGCTTATGGACCTATTGTTGTGTCATTATGCCATTGAGTCAGGTAAAATAAAAACCGACTCTAATAAGCTGGACTGATTTGTCTGAGGGTAGATCAATGCAAGATATTTACAGCACCTTAATATAATTTGTATCCTATATAAAGACAGTGCTGATAACAAATTTTTTTCCTGATATAAGATTTTACAAATTTTCAATTTGATTTTCATGTGGACTTTGTCCAGACTATTCTGATCCATTCATGTAAACCAACACATTAAAACAGTGCTTTGGATCTGCAGCTCACTCAGAGCAACCATGGGGCTGCTTTTCACTTTAGCTGGATAACTACCATATTTCTTGGTAGATTTGCAGTTGTGTCTTGCTTTTACATTATATTACACATGAAAAATTTCCCCATTCTGTTCTAAACCTAGGTTGATCGGAAATTTAATATCTCTGTTTACATGGACACTAAATAAAATGATCCAGTACTATATATGTAAATACCCATATATATATAAATACGCATGTTGATACCCTGTGCCATAACCCTGCATAATAATCCTGCTAAATAAGAGACTCCAGTTGTCATATATATATTGTCATGTTTCTGCACTATTTGGTTCAGTTTAGGTTTCCTTTTTTAAGGTTTCAGTTTCACTTTGATGTTTTTCTGTGTTTTCTGGTGTTATTGGTGTAATTCCCATTTTGTGGTGTTTTCTGGATGTATTTGAGTTCTTGTGTATTGCTTGCCCTCCTGTGTCAGTGTCTTAGCACCGCTCTTGATTCTTCTGTCCACACCTGCTCCCAATCCGCTGATTAGCCTGGTCTTTGTTTCTGTCTCCCATAGACACCTCCTGTTCAGTCACTGTTTGTTGGATCGTTGTTGTGTCTTTACACTCGTAAGCTTTCCCTGATGTCATCTAGTACTTGGTTTTCTGGATTTTTTTTTTTCTGCCTCAGTTGCAACCCTTTTGGAATTTTTAAATCTGCAAGAAACCACTTCAGCTTCAGTCTCTGCATTTCTGTCTTCTTCAACCCTCCACCCAACCTTGCATGTATATGTGGACGCACTGTATCTACTGTATATACCCCACGCACCCTTCTCTGATTTTTTAAACCCTTTTCTTCTTTTTGTCTAATTGAGCCGCTGCAACGAGTAAATTTCTCCACTGTGAGATCAATGAACTCAATCAATCAATTTACCAAATGTGAGATTAAATAATTTAAGCATGCGTGGAAATGTTGAAATGTCCAGAAACGCTTTATTAGAAAAAGCTGCCTGTTTTGTAAACAAACCCATACTTGTCTGCTTATCCTCAACTTTCGCTACTCTTTGTGCCTGTCCCTCACATTTCTTTTTCTTCAGTTCTGCCGCTGTCTCTGTTTGATGTTATTTTGGCTTAGAGGTATGGTAACCCTCCTTTGCTATAGTGGTAGAGGGAAAGATGGCATGTTCATCCTTACATTACATTTGGAGCCACATCTTCTGCCAAGGAGGACCAGGAACCAGTAAATGGAGGTTAGTAAAGAGGAAAAACATCACACTGATGTTGCACACACGTGCAGAGGAGATTATTTTACTTCAAAGATGCAAACGGATGTGTACATGGACACCAATCGGAATGAAAAAAAAAAAAAAAACACCTCCATCGGAATTAAAAGTCTTTCTTATCAGACCGAATCAGATTTGAATCTTCAGCCTGACACATTTCTGCTGCTAATAACTACTCAGAATCTTTATTCTACTTATTGGGGTATCTTTATGATTGTTGAATGATTTTGTATTTTTATTCTTTGCTGTATCTTCTTTTAATGCTCATATTAGGCCTAATTAATCCAATTGCTTTACTTTTCACACTATGCATGCTAGCTATGTAGAGATACTGTAATTACCCAGATGCTGAGTTCAGCACTTAACCCATCAACTGGAAAAAAGAAAAAACTTAGTTTTTTTTTTCTTAAAATAAGTGGATTTCTTTTGAATTGAGGAGGTAAATGAGACATTTTACTTTAGACATTTAAAATATGAATAAAACAATTGCACTGTCTTATTTCAAGTGCATGTTATTTAATAATCTTATTTTAAGGTTAAAAATATTAATTCCTTTGGAAAATAAAATTAAGTGTAAACACACGTTTGATTAAAGAAACATTGACTTATTTCTAGATTGTTTTTTCAGTCTCCAGTCATTTCTCAAAAGTTGCTCCTGTTTATGTATGTTCTTCTCATCTGCTTTTAATCAGTAAAATAACTCACCTGTTCCCTGTTCATTTACTACCCTCCTTGTATTTATACTGTACGTGTCACTTAGACCACCTGCTGTTGTCAGCCTTTGTCTGTGCTGTGTCAATTTTTCAACTTCCTGTTTCTTACTTATTTTAATCACTTATTCTTATACAGATCTGGACTTTCAATTCTGCTTCATTTGGGGCTTTGCTCTAATGCTAACTCTATTCTCAAGCCTACTTGCTTCAACCCCTGCATTTTGTCCTCTACCTCTCATCTATATTATGATGGTAAAGCCCTGCTGAACATCTATACACTACTGAAAATAAAGTGTGCATTGATGAACTATACCTAAAATCAACGTTAGTCCTTGCAGAAATTGGGGCCACTGTATTTTATGTAGGACTTTTAGAGTAAAGGGGCTTAACAGAAATATACTCCACACCGTAAATGATAAAAAGATAATAAAATATGACTTTGAACGCTATCCTTTGCCTTCCACCTTAAAGCTATGTTCTACTTTGAGATTGTCTGGAATATGAAGTCTCTGTAAAACACACTTTAGTTTTCAGTTTGCAGTGTTATGAAATGTGACGATAATTCAGAAGTATAAAGTATTTAGCCAGGCAATTTAAACCCTTTGATTCAAGAGCCATATTTAGCATTTAAAACAAAAAAAAGAGAAAATATTGTTAAATACTGTCACATACTTGTTTTATTCGATCACTATTATTCAATCCGTAACTTGCTTAAAGGTAGCCTTAGAGGAATTACACCAGACTCACCCACAATCTACAAGCTCATCTGATGACCTCAGAGCTTTCCACCAGCTGC